TCTCAACAGGTTCTCTCGGGGAACGTATTTCTCGCAGTGCCTTGCCTTGGCACGTTGATCAGATCCAGCTTGCAGGACACAGCAGGTGGAGATCAGTCCCCAGTGCCTCTGCTCGAGCTGGGGAGCGAGGCCAGCCCTTGGAAGTTTGGCTCTGGTGGAGGGTGAGGAGCTGCTGGGCCACTGCAGCTGAGGCAAGAGGCACGAGCGGCGTCGGCCGTGGCCTCCACTCCTGGTGGTGGTGGAGCTGTCCCCGGGACTCATCCCACGACCCCTGATTTGCAGAGTTTGCACACACTTTTGATTTTCCTGGATACACAGTGAGGGGGTGGGGATGGGAGATGGGAATTATGTTGTTGGGGGGTCTGTAGACAACTCCTTCTCCACGCTCCCAGGCTCTGAGTTGAGTAGAAGGGGCTTCTTGTTTATTAGCTGTGGTTCTGTTGGCAGTGGAGGACAGAAAATGGGCAAAGTCTTGGAAAAGATGGGGTCACTCACAAAGACGCATTTTGTAAGAAATGGACTTAAAGAAACCCCAAAAAGCCGTGCCACAAAATCACAAAGTGTACCTAGATCCACACCTCTATTCCCTATGGCTCTTCTCCCTTAACAGAATTTCCTTTTGTCAGAAGATTTGACTAGGAAAAAATTCCATTTTTGTGAGGTGTTGTGAACTGTTTTTACTACTTGTAATAACCATCCCGGGTCTGAGTATTCTTGTAATGCAATGCCATGCAGCAGAGAACCTGTCCACTTTATAGCTTTGCTCTCAATATTTGTTACTCATTGTTTTCTCATCTAAATGTACATTTGCAAGATGTGTGTAATGTCATTTTCAAAAAATAAAATTTGGTTTCAATATTTAGGCCGATAAAAACCTTTCTGAGGCTTTTATTTGTCGAGTGTGTGTTGACTTTGACTTGTGAATTATAGAAGAGTCGTGCATTTTGATACCTCAGCTTTCCCAAATCTGCCTCACTTGTATAAATGCAGAAAAAAAAAAAAGAAAGAAATAGGCTGGGGAGGGAATCTGATGCCCCTGAATTAATTAAGATACAAATCTGCCTGACTGAAACAGCCCAACCTGTGCAGGATCCTTTTGCCTAAAGGAATGAGCTCCTTGTGGGTCCCACTCTGGGAGAAAAGGGGAAAATCAGGGCAGCTCTTTCCCAGTGTGAGCACTGTGGATTCAGAGCAGCAAATGTCGCCCCCATCTGAACTCTGCCCTGGCATCCAGAGCCTGGGCAAAGCCTGTGCAGTCCCACATGAATTTGGGGAAGTTTGGTGAGATTGAGAGCTGCACTATATTTGTCCTGCCTTCCCACACAGGCCTGAAAAAACTCCAAGTTTTCCTTTCCCAGCATCTCGGTCAGAACCACAGTGAGGACAAAATCTTTCTTCCCTGTGAGCTCTGAGAAATGACAATAAAGCTTAGGCTACCAACCCATCGCCCCTCTTGGCAAAGTGCTGGCACCCACTTGTGCCTGGACAGGCCAGAGCAGAACAAACAGTGCAGTTCTGTTTGCAGGGAAAGGCCACATGGAAAAAATGCAGTTCCCATCATGAAACCAGGAGAAAACCACATTCAGGGCAGCCTTTATGGGCTGAAACTGAAGGAAATGTTATCAGAAAAGCAGAATGAGTGCTTTAGAAAACTCTCTGCTTGTGTCCCTGTGCACTTGAGGAGCAGCAACAAAGCCCTGGTGTCTTTTCCAGGGGCTGTGTGTTGGATCAGGACAATAAAATCCTGGAGGAAGTGCTCCTGCCCATGCAAAATGTTCCGAAAATGGCAGATTTAAAAGCTGCTGTGTGCATCTATCGCAGCTATTCCAGGGACTCCAGAGAGAGTTAAAAGGAAATCTAAATGCTGGTAGTGTGGCACCGCCAGGCAGCACTGCAAACCATTGGAAATGATGCTGCTGTCTTAGCAGGAATTCCTCTGGCACATATGGAATCACTCCAGATTTACTGTTGTGTCAGTGAGAGTAAAATTCAGCTTCCACAGCTTGGCCTTTCTGCTGCATCAGCCTGGACCTAGACAGAAATTCACTTCAGGGATCCTGGAATATGTTGGTACATCTCATCAGCAGAAGTGTTTCCCTGAAAAGTCTCAGTCCAAGTATGCTAGCCCTGTGTGCTATCAGTTGCTTAGACTGAAGTAACTTCTGGCCTGGTGCAAAACCCCTTGGCTGCTGTCTTCTGCTTTTCCTGGTTTGTGAAGACAACACAGGAGGATTTTAGACCCCTGGAAATTACGCTCAGCATCTGTGTTCAGATTTTGGGCTTCTTGAGCCTGGGGTATCAAATCTGGAGTTTGACCCTGCTCTCTGCTGCTCCCTTTCACCATCTGCCATCAAATCTTGTGATTTTAAAAGCTTTTTTCAGGTTGTCACCCCAGGCTGGCTCTGTGCTCTGCTCCAGACAACGCACCACGCAATGCTGGTCCACATTCTAAAGAAGAGGTGTCCCAAAGGATGGGAGTGACCATAACCATGGGGAGATTCCCCAGGGAGCTGTGAAAACCCGAGTGGGATGAACAGCCCAGAGGCACTGCTTTAATTGTATCAGTGCTTTGTCAGCCTCGTCAGGCTGACCTGCATCTTTAAAAGCTTATTCATAAGCTTTTAATATTCATATATTCTGAACATAAGAGACATGACTAAGAATTCCCTGGCCTGGTTTTGGCTGGGAGACAGTTAATTTTCTTCCCAGTAGCACCAACTCCAGGTGTTGTATTTGGAGTAGTGTGAGGATGATGTTGATAACACACTTGTTTTCAGTCATGGCTAAGCAGGGTCTGTGCTCAGACTTCTCAGCTTCTCATGCCCTGCCAGTGAGGAAATTTGGGGCACAAGGAGCTGGGAGGGGTCACAGTCAGGACAGCTGACCCCAGCTGACCCAAGGATATTCCAGACCATCTGGAGTCATGCTTATCAAATAAACTGAGGGAAAGCCATCCATGGGCTGGACAACTGCATTGTGCATCCCTTGCTTTGGACATTGTAATTCTCTTTTATTATCACAATGATGATTAGTTTCTTCCTTTCTGATGCATTGAACTGTCTTTATCTCAACCCACGAGTTCTCTCACTGTCACCCTTCCTCTCCCTTGCCCTGGGAAGGCAGTGAGCCAGTGGCTGTGTGGGGTTGGGGTTGGGGTTAAACCAGGCCACCTGAGATCATCCCCCCGTGTGACACTGCTGGGGCCCTGGAGGCAGCACAGCTCCCTCACCCTCTGATGTGGCCTTGCTGTCTTTGGGGACAGGGCAGGGTCCCTGTGAGTGCCACAGCCCACGGAAGAGAACACCAGTGGAAGCAGAAAGATCTTCCAGAGCCACTGGGGTCTGCTCCAGCCTCCAGGGTTGGTGGGACAGGAGAACTCAATTACTCTTCTTGGGGACAGCAGGGGGACAAAGATGCCACTCTGACATGGCTTCAGTTTTGCTGAAAAATAAGGCACCAATACCAACATAAGGTTGAATTAGCACACGACAGAAGCCTGGCTGGAATAACCTGCAGCCAAATCTGTCATCAATCTGTAAATGGTGTTTTTTCCAGTGCTGCCTAGAAAGGTGAGCAGCACCTAGAGCAAGGTGGAGCAATAAAACCTTCATTTTAAATTAACACATGACTAGCCTGGCCTCTGGAGAGTGACACATTTGTGCAAGCAGGAAAGAAAATCTTTGGAAAATGCCATTCTGTCACAAATTGTCCATGCTTTAATTAAGAATTCCTCATCAGGGAGGAAGATAACTATGAGATCCATGAGGGGAGGAACAGAGTTGATCTATAATGAAATCAGTTCTCAAATGAGGTCGCCCACCCATGCACTGCTTGTGCACACGCAGCAGGAGCAGGAGCCAAGTGCGGGGAGATGAGGCCAAACTTTTGTAGCTCTGCAAATAAATAGGTCACACTTTGGGTGGGGAGGGGGCACGAGGGGGAGTAATGCAGTTACGTGCTGGAGAACTTGGGGACAAGGGCAGACGTGTCCTCCCGTGCTCTCCTCTCAAAGGACAATTCCCTTATTCCTGTGTCTCGTGACAAAGTACCCTGGAACAGGCTCCAGGCACACAGGCCAATGCAGCCTCCCCACAAGGCTTACCCCATTAAAACAGAAAGTAAAAAACACCTTTCTGTCCCCTTGACACAGATTTAGTACATAAAACCAAGCCTGCCCTTAATATCCTTAAATCTTTAAATGACTCACCATATTCTGCTTTTCTGGCCAGAAAAGTAGATCGGCTGTGACTCTAAATGCCAGGCGCCAGAACTAGGAAAAGAATATTTAGAGCAGAAGCCTACAACTCATGGAGACTTTCAGCTCTAGATGTGGCCACAGGTTTCTGTGTCACCTGGGGAATCACCTGGGACCACACTAAAAATACAGCAGGTGCCAAAGTGAGCTTAGAATTTCTTTGGTCTCCAGGTACCAGAAGGATGGGGATAATCACCTTCAGACTCCATGTGAAGAGGTTCACCTGGGAAACTACAACACCTGCTAAGAGTTACCAGTGCAAGAAATCACCAGCACTGTGAGAGCAGAGCTGGCATCGGAGACTGCAAGAAGACAAACCTTTGCTAAATAAAAAAATGGCATTACATGATCAAGTGCCCAAAGTGAAACATTCTAAGCCCCAAAACAGATGTGAACTGCAGTGAGCATGGCCTGGGCACTGCAAAAAAACCCTAAAGCTTCGTGCAGTGGGTTCTGTCTGTGAGTGCAGAGCTGCTCCTATGCTGGGGGAAGTTTGCACTATGCAGCAGCAGCAGCATCCCACAGAGCAGGAAGGACAGGGCAAATGTGAGCCAAACCCATCCAACTCCTGCCAGCTTTAAACACGGCTCTGATTTCAGGCTGTGGGAGAGGAGCAGGGCTCCTGGAGGCCTTGGAATCTCTGATGGAGAAGGGGAACACACTAAGCCTGAGCACATTTCTCATGACCCTGAGACAGGAATGGCTTTATCCAAATTCCACTGAGAAACAAGAGTGCTACAGGCAATGTTTTAAATATTTAATGTTTACACAACACTCGGAATACAAATGGCAATTCAAAGAGAAGGGAACTCCTGTCTCTGTGAGCCCCTCAGGGAGTTTTCATGTGTGTTTTTCAGCTGGATTGATGCCCGCCCATACAGATGACAAATGGCAGCAGGGGATGTGTCCTGTGTGCCCCAAAAACACCCATCCTGCTCCACTGCACAGGGCCCTCGCTGCCAGAGAAGCAGGGAAGAAATGGTGATTTCAGCTCCTTTAGTCCCCATGCCAGTCCAAGCTCTATGTCACTGCCAGCTCTGCCCATTCAGCTCGTTCCACTTCTTCCCACTGCCATCAGGAGAAGCTGCTCCAGGTTCTCACAGCAGGATCTTTGCTATAGCTCCAGCCCAGCCCCACCACTACAGCTGCTCTCCCACCCCAAACCCACAGTTATTTCAGCTCCAGTTCCACAGGCTTTATTTCACTGCCAGCTCCGTTTCCACTCCAGCTCTCCATCTCCCTGCTGCCAACAGGTGAAGCTGCTCCAGGTTGTCAGCAGGATCTTCATTTTGTCTCCAACCCTTCAGTCCCTACCCTGTCCTTGTCCCACAGGAGTTTCAACCCCAGCCATACCATGTTTATGTCTTGCCAGCTGTGCTGCCTCATCTCCAGCTCCTCAGCTTCCCTGTGCCTCCAGCTAAAGGCTGCTCCTTGTTCTCACTGAAGCTCAGGACTGTTGACAAGGACACAAATCAGCCACTGCCATCATCACTTCAGTATCTCCAGGAGCTGTCACACCATCCCAAATGAGTGCTGCTGCTGAGACCTGACCCCTAACACACACCTTTCCACAATCCCACCCCAGCCAGCAATAGGGGCAAGAACAGGCACTGAGCCCCGGGTTCCCCATCCCAAAACGTGCCCTTGGGCTGGTTCTGAGCCCCAGGAACCCCTCAGAGAATCCCCCTGGCTGGGCTGGAAGCCCCTGGGCAGTTCCTGCAGCTCCATCCCCTTCCCTGTGGGATTTATGTCAGCTCCACGTGGGTTTGGGTCTGCCTCCAGTCCCAGGGCTTTATGTTCTAGCGGCCCCAATCCTACAACCTTCCTTTAATAAACACTACTTGTCTAGTAAAAGAATAAAAAACTCTAACGCAAAACATTAGTGGAACATAAGAGCAACATAACAATGGAATAAACCAACTCTATTGCCTATATTTTTTATATTACTTCAAGCTCCACGGGGCCGAATTCTGCCCACTCCTCACTCGGGGACGGCTTTGTCCCCACAGCTCCGCACCAGCCTCCAGCGGCGCCGCTGTCCGACCCGCACGGGGCACGGCGGGCACTGAGGGGGTCGGGCCGAGCATCGACAGCACCGTGGGACGCCGGCTGTTCGAGAGAGCCGGGTCGGGTCCCGGCTGTCCCCGGCCCACAGAGAGGTGAGGGGCCAGCCACCTCAGCGATCGCAGCTCCGCACAGACTGCCGCCCACGCTGCCCGCGCACGCCATTTATAGCCCCGCCCGGCCCGCCCAGCCAATCGCAGCCCGCCCCGCGGTCCCGCAGTGCCCTCAGGGCCCGCTCCCGCCGCTCCCGCCCGCTCCACGCTGTGCCCGGCCCCGCTCCCGGCCCGACCGGGACCGCACGGCCCCGCCGGCCCTTCCCGGCCCCGCTCCCGGCCCGACCGGGACCGCACGGCCCCGCCGGCCCTTCCCGGCCCCGCTCCCGGCCCGACCGGGACTTCCCGGCCCCAGCAGCACCTGCGGGGGCTGCGGTACCGGGCCGCGGCTCCGCCGGGTCGCGAAGCGCGGCCGTGTAGATTGCGCCTCAGGACAGCCGCCTGAGGGGCCGGGCCGGACTGCGCGGGCAGAGCCTGGCGGGACCGGGCCGCGTGAAAGGGCGGCTGGGACTGCAGGGACTTGGAGTCCCCATGGCGAACTGACAGTCCCCATCACATCCCGACAGTCCCCATGGCGAACTGACAGTCCCATTGGCATTCCGACAGTCCCCATCACATCCCGACAGTCCCCATGGTGTCCCGACAGTCCCAATCACAGCCTGACACATCCATCCCATCCCAACAGTCCCCATCACATCCTGACACATCCATCACAGCCTGACAGTCCCCATGGCATCCCAACAGTCCAAATCATATCCCAACAGTCTCCATGGCATCCCAATAGTCCCCATGGCATCCCGATAGTCACCATCACATCCTGATAATCCCCATCGCATCCTGACACATCCATCACAGCCCAACAGTCCCCATTGCATACCAACAGTTCCCACAGCATCCCGATAGTCCTTATCCCATCCCAACGGTCCCCATGGCATCCTGATAGTCCTTATCCCATCCCCAATAGTCCCTATCGCATACCAACAGGCCCTATTGCATCCCAACAGTCCCAATCCCATCCTGATAGTCCCTATCCCATCCTGACAGCACCTACTCCATCCCAAATGCCACTATCACATCCCAACAGTGGCTCTGCCATCCCAACAGGGATTTCAGCTCCAGCCCCACAAGCTTTATTTCACTGCCAGTTCTGCCGTTTCAGCTCCAGCTCCACATCTCCACTTCCCCTGCCACCAGGTGAAACTGCTCCTGGTTCTCACGTCAGGATCTTTCGGGTTGCAGCTCTCTGAGGTTTCATCTCCAGCTCCAGGATGCACATTCCAACCTCAGCCTCACAGTTTTGCTCCAGTTCAGCCATTCGCCGTTCCAGCCCTACAGGGATCTCAGCTCCATTCCTATCGCAGCCCTACAGTTGCTATCCCGGCACCGCAGGGACTCCAGCCACTCCTCACCACCCCTTCCCTGCCCCAGGAACCCCAGAGACCCTGCCCGAGCCCCAGGGCCCCTCGGGGAGCTCCCACTGGCCACAGGGCACGGGAGGGCCAGGCAATGTGGGCAGAACAGGGAGGGGTGGCAAGGCAAGGCAATGAAGGACTAGAAAAGGCAAGGGAAGGGCAAGACAAGGCAGGACTTGACAAAGAAAGGCAAGAGGGGCAGGGAAGGCAAGGGAGCAGCAGGCAAGGCAAGACGAGGGGAGGCAAGACAAGGGGAGGGGAGGGGAGGGGAGGGAAGGGAAGGGAACTCAAAGCAAGGGAGGAATATGCAGGGCTAGGCAAGGGAGCTAGCATACCTTAGCTACTCCTCCCTTCCCTTGCCTTTTTAACCCTTCCCTAGGCTTGCCTTGCCTACCACTCCCTTGCCTTGCCTTATTTTTTCTATCCCACCCTTGCCTTTCCCACCCATCTCTTGCCTTCCCCACCTATCCCTTGCCTTCCCCACCCATCTCTTGCCTTTCCCACCTCTTCCTTGCCTTTCCCACCCATTCCTTGCCTTTCCCACCCATCTTTGTCTTTCACATACATTCATTGCCTTTCCCACTCTCCCATCCCTTGCCTTTCCCACCTCTCCCCTACCTTTCCCACTCTCCCTTGCCTTTCCCAGCTCTCCCTTGCCCTTCCCACTCTCCCATCCCTTGCCCTTCCCACTCTCCCATCCCTTGCCTTTCCCAGCTCTCCCCTGCCTTTCCCACTCTCCCATCCCTGGGCGATGCCGCCACCGCGCGGCCGCCGGGCCCGTCCCCCCGTCCCCGGACTCGCAGGAGGGAACCAGGCTGGATTTAATTTGTGTCCTGCAGGGAAATAAATCCTGGCGCCCTTCCCTCGCAGGGCTGTTCCCCTGCTCCTCCTTCCCCCCGTGACCAGCCTGCCTGAAAAATAACTCCAAATGCCCACTTCTAATCCTGTCTTGTCTTTTTAGAAATTTTTCTTCTGATTGTGGTTAAGGTAGTTGGGGGATAAAACCTGCTCTGTACACTTCAGCTTCTGTGACAACTGTAGACAGGGCAAAGCACAGCCCCTTCTGTGCCTTCTGTTTTAGGGATTGTCTTCCTTTAACTCAGTGCTGTGCAGAAGGTTCAGTGCTAGCAAAACATCAGTCTGGGACTGACCCTTAATCCAACCCCTCTTGTCATTTATGCTTTGGGAGAAAGTAGGAAGGAACCTGATATCAAAATTCCACAATGTGAAGGATGAGTGATCCAGGTCCAAAATGGTGTTGTTGAGCAAAATCAGGCCCAACTGGGTACACAACTCTGAAAATTTTCAGTGAATCTTGCTTAGTTTTCAGATTTCTTGGGCTCTTCTTTGTTCAAACTGCTTAAATTAGAAAGAGTAGAATAAACATGTAGGATTTAAGTTGAATCTCTGCTGGAAACCATCTCATGGTGTATTAATAAATTGCCCCATGAACATATCTCTGGTGGGACCCAAGAACCTGGCAGTGGAGTGTGTGTGCAAGGTGATGGGCAGGAATTTCTGAAGATATGATGGGCTCTGAGCCCAAGGTGCTGAACATACAGATGTGGGGTATAGAAGATCTTGTGAAAGAGCAAGTTCTGGTGGTTCCTTGTGCTGTGGTGTCTCTACACAACAGGCTGGCTCTGGGCTCTGGTTTGCTGCAGGATGCAGGAGGAGTCAGCTTTGGAAAGCAGCAGGGCTGGAGCAAGAAAAGTGTAGTGGAGCACCTCAGGGGGTGCCTGCAGGCTCTGCAGGAGAGCAGTGAGGAAATTCAGGACACCAGGAGATGCAGCACAGTCATTAATGGAAGCCAGTTCATCCAGAGGAGGGGACACATCCACCAAGGAAACTAAAGGCTGCAGGGCTCATTCAAGGATTTCAGGTACAATGTTGTAAGGTTAAATGGTTCACAGTAAGTGAAACCTCTTTTCCAGGTTGGTTTTTTTTTCCATTACTTGTCATCTATGTAGCTCATCTTGCTGTCTGTCCAAAGGAATTTCTGTTTCTGATGAGATTTCCAGCAAGAGCTCCTCCTCAGCCCAGACAAATCCCATCCAGTTCTTGGATTACACCACTCACATCAAAAAGTTCTCATGGTTTTGTTCTGCAGCAGATCAAAGCAAAGACAGCTACTGTGAGAACACATCTTATAAGCTGTGAATATTATTATCAGCTCACAGAGTGGAATTCTGTTGTGCTCTTGTGGGAGTTTTCATATTTTTCCCTCAGCTGTGCAGATGAATCATATTGTGTGTGTAATATACAACCATCAGCTTTTTATTTTGATTTAAACTCTGGGCTACTTACTCAATCAGGAATTGGAAACACATGGCTTTAGTATGTAAGGCTTTTTAACTCATGAAATAGTAAAACTGTAGTGGCAGCTTCCAGGGACTTTCAGTCCAAATTTCAGCATGCATTCAAAAGGAATTGGGGTAAAAGAGGAAATAGTCCTGCAGTGAACCTTGCAGTACAGAAATTTGTGATATTTTTTATTCATCTTCAGAGTATTTTGTGGATGTAACTCACCCCCTGAGATCCAATCTCCTCTAGGAGACTTATGAGTAATAATGTTGAGGAGAAGGAATGAACCTATTTGTAAACTTAGACCAGTTATGCTAAAATGAGGATTAAATGGAGGAAGAAAACTGGGGAGAATATATAAAGCTATAGTACAGATGAAATTTTGTAATGCATTTTGAAGTGGCACTTGTTCAAAAATGGGACTGCTTTTACTAAAATACAAATAAAACCCACATAATGGAAATAAAGGTGTTATTGTCCTCAAATCGGAAAAAAAAAAAAAATTAAGTCAAATTAACCCAGATGTTTAGGATTTACCCAAAAGGAAATTGAAGCTGAGCAAAGTATGGAGAAGATCTTGTTTTTCCAAAACCACGTCTTGTTGAGAATTTGTATCC